CTCTGCTCTCCGTTTATCCTTTCTGCAGCTCTGCTATCCGTTCATCCTTCCTGCAGCTCTGCTATCCGTTCATCCTTTCTGCAGCTCTGCTATCCGTTCATCCTTTCTGCAGCTCTGCTATCCGTTCATCCTTCCTGCAGCTCTGCTATCCGTTCATCCTTTCTGCAGCTCTGCTATCCGTTCATCCTTCCTGCAGCTCTGCTATCCGTTCATCCTTCCTGCAGCTCTGCTATCCGTTCATCCTTCCTGCAGCTCTGCTCTCCGTTTATCCTTTCTGCAGCTCTGCTATCCGTTCATCCTTTCTGCAGCTCTGCTCTCCGTTCATCCTTCCTGCAGCTCTGCTATCCGTTCATCCTTTCTGCAGCTCTGCTATCCGTTCATCCTTTCTGCAGCTCTGCTATCCGTTCATCCTTTCTGCAGCTCTGCTCTCCGTTCATCCTTCCTGCAGCTCTGCTATCCGTTCATCCTTCCTGCAGCTCTGCTATCCGTTCATCCTTTCTGCAGCTCTGCTATCCGTTCATCCTTTCTGCAGCTCTGCTATCCGTTCATCCTTTCTGCAGCTCTGCTCTCCGTTCATCCTTCCTGCAGCTCTGCTATCCGTTCATCCTTCCTGCAGCCCTGCTATCCGTTCATCCTTTCTGCAGCTCTGCTATCCGTTCATCCTTTCTGCAGCCCTGCTATCCGTTCATCCTTTCTGCAGCTCTGCTATCCGTTCATCCTTTCTGCAGCTCTGCTATCCGTTCATCCTTTCTGCAGCTCTGCTCTCCGTTCATCCTTCCTGCAGCTCTGCTATCCGTTCATCCTTCCTGCAGCTCTGCTATCCGTTCATCCTTTCTGCAGCTCTGCTATCCGTTCATCCTTTCTGCAGCTCTGCTATCCGTTCATCCTTCCTGCAGCTCTGCTATCCGTTCATCCTTCCTGCAGCTCTGCTATCCGTTCATCCTTCCTGCAGCTCTGCTATCCGTTCATCCTTTCTGCAGCTCTGCTATCCGTTCATCCTTTCTGCAGCTCTGCTCTCCGTTCATCCTTTCTGCAGCTCTGCTATCCGTTCATCCTTTCTGCAGCTCTGCTATCCGTTCATCCTCCTGTTTTTCCCAGCCTGCCGTTTTCAGCCCTTATGCATCAGTAAAGTGTTTACTGCATTGTCTCGTTTTATAACAGCTGCATCCCTATGGAAGAGAATCGTTACCATATTTCAGATGAAAAAGCGTTTCCAGAAATGCTTTTTCATTTTAAAAATGTGGCTGCATTGTTTGAATTATAAATGAAATTATTAATCAATCATCCTATTTGCATTTTCTTCTTTAAGAATTGCTCATTTTATGCCACAATCAAAGAGAAAACACAGCAGACGTTTTGGTTTCCATGGTCTGCCTGCAAAGTACCGTCCAAAATCAAAAAAGAAAAAGCTTTCTGAGCGGCAGGCGCAGCGGAGTGACGTCAGCAGCCAGCTTCCTCAGGTCCCATCTTGTTACGTTTAAGCGTGGCGGCGGGAAACTGGTTGAAACTGGTCTGACTATCGGGTCAAACTGCTGGATTCTACCTGCTAAGCTAATTCTAAAGTGTTTGTATGGTTGGAGTTCCATGACCTGTGATGCTACAGACCTGGAGACCGGTTACCATGGTGACAGAATATCTCTGGAATCTGACTAAAGCAATAATCAATACAATGTTTATGAAAATGAACCAATGAAAGTCGGACGATTCTTTTCAGCCATGATTTAACAGAAAGATTAAAATAATAAACTGATGAAAAAGACCTGCATCAAAATAATTGGTCGTCTGGAAAACCCTGGAAACAATGTGATCAAAGGGACGTTAGGTCAAGGTGTGTCCACCAATCAGCATCACAGGTCTCTGCAGTCTAGCAACCAGGCAGTGGGCCTATATATAAGGCTACAGGTGGACACTGTTTGGTGACGTGGTGCGTCTCACACTCAACATGGACCAGAGAAGGAAAGAGTTGCCTGAGGAGATTAGATAGAACATGCTAGAGCTGCATGTTGAAGCTAAAGGCTATCAGAGCATCTCCAAGCAGCTGATGTTCCTACATGTAGGATCCATGGACTGTGACCAACATCCCTGGATGCTGCAGGAAAACTAATCAGAGAGACGGATGATAGGAATGGAGACTACAGAGACACTTCTGCACAGATTAAAGGAGAACTTCAGGATGATCAGTCAGATCCCCGCATCCATCACCGTTTGAACCAGAGTGGATTTAATGGGAGACGAATAAACAGGAACCATTGATGGAAACAAACCATTAAAAACTGACTGGAATTCACAAATATAGACGTAGACCAGAAACAAAACTTCTAGGAGACAAACATCATCTCTATGTTCACAGATGGAAAAATGAAGCATATAAAACATGGAGGAGGCTGTGTTATGCTCTGGGCTGCTTTTCTTCATCTGAATATCTGCAGGGTCCAATGACATTCAATTCTATTCAGTTTATTTCTATAGCTCCAATTCACATCATGTCATCTCAGGTCACTTTCCAGTTCACCAGATCATCCAGTCAGATTGATTCAAAGTTTTCTATCTAAGGAAAACCAGCTGATTGCATCGACTCATTGACTCTTCAGCAATCCCTCACACTAAGCATGCTTGTAGCGACAGTGGAGAGGAAAAACTCCCTTTGAACAGGAAGAAACCTCCAGCAGAACCAGGCTCAGTGTGAGCGGCCATCTGCTGAGGCCCACTGGGGTTCAAGGAGACAGAAGTAGACATAGAAAAAGAAGCATAGATACAAAAGGCAACTGTCAACCAGCTCCACAGGCGGCCCCGTCCAGGAAACACACAGCCAGGCAGACGAGCTCCGAGCCAGCTCCCATGTCAGAGGATGAAGAGAGCACATCCAGTTAGTCACAGTCAGAGAAACAGGACTACACTGGAAAACAGGCCAAGCTCCAACATCTAGAAACAAAGGTGTTGATGGCAGCAGCACAGCTGATGTTTCTTTCCAGGATGGAGTCACAGCCAAACAGGAACAGACCAGATGAAGCTACTATGAGAAAAAGCAGAGAGAGCAGAACGTTAGAGATTGAACTAACAGATTCTGCAGAGTGGGAGAATAGAGATAGAATGAAGCAGAATGATGAAAAAGGGGTCCCTATGTCCTCCAGCAGTCTAAGCCTATAGCAGCAGAACTATAGAGATAGATCAGGATAACCTGAGCCACTCTAACTATAAGCTTTATCAAAAAGGAAAGTTTTAAGTCTAGCCTTAAAAGTAGACAGGGTGTCTGCCTCACGGACTAAAACTGGTAGTTGGTTCCACAGGAGAGGAGCCTGAGAACTAAAAGATCTGCCTCCCATTCTACTTTTAGAAATTCTAGGAACCACTAGTAAACCTGCAGATTGAGAGCGAAGTGCTCTGTTAGGAACATAAGGAACAATCAGATCTCTGATATAAGATGGAGCTTGGCCATTTAAGGCTTTATATGTGAGAAGGAGGATTTTAAATTCTATTCTTGATTTAACAGGAAGCCAATGAAGAGAAGCCAGGATAGGAGAGATGTGATCTCTCTTTTTTATTTTCATTAGAACTCTGGCTGCAGCATTTTGGATCAGCTGAAGGCTTTTAACTACAGTTTGTGGACTTCCTGATAGTAAAGAATTACAATAGTCCAGCCTTGAAGTAACAAATGCATGGACTAGTTTCTCAGCATCACCCCTGGACAGGAGATTGCTCATTTTTGCAATGTTCCTCAGATGAAAGAAGGAAATTCTAGAAACCTCTTTGATGTGGGATTTAAATGACAGGTCCTGATCAAAAATAACACCAAGATGTTTTACTTTATTATCTGAAATCAGTTTAATCCAAAGGAAGTGACTGACTAATCAGCAGTTCTGTTCATGTTAGTAAATATAAACATAGAGCCAGTTGTAGCTAGGCTAGTGGTTAAGTTAGCGCTGGGTCAACATATATCACCATTAATGCAAACTGCATAGTTTTAGAGGGTTATATAATAAAGTAGATAGATAATGTGTCTCCATCAGGGATTATATCAGAGTTTCTAGTAGCTGAAGTGCTTGAGCATCTTTGGATTCATCAGATCAGTAACGGGTTTCATCCTCTGACCCAGATCTGACCCTCCTCGGTCTCCTCGGCGTTAGGTTTGCTTCGGACTCTAGACAACCTCAACCTTTAAATGTTTGTAAGCTGCAGGATCTTAACCTTTGCTTCATAAACCTCGTACCTCTGCTGTGACCCACAGCATCATTACAGGATAAAACATCTGCGTGAGAGCCAGAGTGACGAGGCGGTCTGTGGGCCTAATCCCACATTAACAGGCCGCACACAGATTAGCAGAGAGCTGCAGTCGGCAGCAGCATCGATTTTATTCCTTAAATTATGTCAGAGCTGAACTGGAAGAAGCCAAACTACCAGAGGCTGAACTAGAACGTCCTTCTGCTCCTCAGCCCTGCGCTGGAGCCAAAGGTTCCTGCAGAGTGAAGAGGAACGGAAACATCTGGTAATGTTCCACAGATAAACAGGAAGTGCTTATTATGGGATAATTCTAGAACTATGACATCATTTTAATGTAAACTGAGTGGGTAGATGATCTCCATCCAGCTGCTGAGGCCTGCTGGTCTGTTTCTGATCGACACAATCCGACTGTTAAGGGCCAAGTTCAAAGCTGCTTCCCGTCTGCAAGAAGATGGACCCAAAGCCCGCCGTGCATCATGGGAAATAAGGTCAGCCGGATCAGGAAAAACTGAGCTCTGATCCAAAGACCAGCTGAAAGGTCTGTGTAGATGGAAGCTCCAGCTCACCATAGTGGGAACCATTATGAGACCAGTGTGGTGAAGATTCCCAGGATCCAGAACAGAACCTGAGCCTCATGGTTCCTGACTGAGAACATCAGAACCATCTGAGGTCAATGAAGGTCACATCTGGCTTCAAACCAATCCAGAGGAGGAAGAACCAGAAGAACGACGTCCCGCCGTCTGATAGTGACGGATCAAAATAAAAAAACCTTTAATCCCACATCAATAAATAAAAAATGATTTTATTTTTTGCTCAGATTATCTTTAATATGAAAGTTTTATTGAATTCCAACATTTGAAAGTGACAGAAAAGCAAAATGAGAAAAATCAGAGAGGAAGGAAAAGTTTTTCTAAGCCCTTGGTTTTATGTGAAGTCAGGTTGGTTCCAGAACCAGAACTTTCTGGGCCACGGTCCAGAAGGTCCAGAGAACCACAGATTTTACCCGTGTCAGCCTGACAGATGGAGGCGACTTCAGGAGAATTCTGACAGGAGAAACGAACCAAAGAAGATCCATGCCGCCATGAAGCCGAGCAGAGAATGGAAGGTGTGGGTCCGGGGCCCCCCGGCCCCCGCCGACAGCTGGCCCCCCTCTGAATCCAGCAGGGTCCCGTTCCGTAGACTCTCAGTCCCGTTCCCCATCTCCTCCCTGACCTCCTGCTGGAGCAGCTTGGAGATGAGGCTTTTGAAGCGGTTCTCCGTGGTGGACATGAGCTCCGAGGACGCCGTAGTCAGGTTGAGCTCGCTGGGGTCGACGCAGGAGCCGTTCACCGCAGGGAAGACCACCTGGCTGAGGTCCAGACCCGCCACTGAGGAGGGCGAGGCGCAGGGGATGTCCCGCACCAGCTTGTAGTTCTCCATCCACTGCTTGAGCCAGTCCAGGGAGCAGTCGCACTCCCAGGGGTTCCTGAAGAGGTACAGGTGAGCCAGGAAGTAGATGGGCTGGAAGACGCTGAAGGGCAGCGTGGTCAGGTTGTTGCTGTTCAGGTGCAGCGTGATCAGGCTGGTCAGGTTCTCGAAGGAGCCCTCCTCTATGTTCAGCAGCTGGTTCCTGTCCAAGTACAGGACCTCCAGCTCCATCAGGTCACTGAACCAAGTCCTGGACACATTGGTCAGCTGGTTCCCCCCGAGGTTCAGCATCTTTAGGCGGCTGAGCCCCTTGAAGGGGAGTCGGGGAAGAACCGACAGCAGGTTATCATTGAGGTAGAAGTTCTCCAGCCGTACCAGGTCCTGGAAGGCGTTGTCATGGATCACATTGATACGGTTCCCCTGGAGGTTCAGGTACCTGAGAAGAAGAAGAAGAAGATAGAAGCAGGAGGTCAATGACCTGCTACTGTGGATGTGGAGGGAAGGATGGATGGTGGATGCAGGTTGGATGGGGGTTGGATGCAGTTGGATGCGGGTTGGATGCAGTTGGATGGGGGTTGGATGCAGTTGGATGCGGGTTGGATGCAGTTGGATGCGGGTTGGATGCAGTTGGATGGGGGTTGGATGCAGTTGGATGCAGGTTGGATGCGGGTTGGATGCAGTTGGATGCAGGTTGGATGGGGGTTGGATGCAGTTGGATGCAGGTTGGATGCGGGTTGGATGCAGTTGGATGCAGGTTGGATGCGGGTTGGATGCAGTTGGATGCAGGTTGGATGGGGGTTGGATGCATGGTTGGATGCAGGTTGGATGCAGTTGGATGCGGGTTGGATGCAGGTTGGATGGGGGTTGGATGCAGGTTGGAAACATGTTGGATG